ACAAGGTGACATTATAATTCAGTGTCAGTGTCTTTCTGCCCGTTACAAACAGTTTATTATATTACTCCGTCCCCTGTTCTGCCCCTGTCCCTTATTTTACCAGAACAAAGGTGGCAACCATAATTGCAAGTGTCTGATGCAATGGGAGTTGAAGCCATGTAACTCAATCTTACCTGGGGGCTATTATTGCGATGTAATAGAACTATTCCATGCCAATTAGAGGTTGTGCATTGAATACACAATACTTGTAAGACATGTACAGTATGTAACTCATGTTCTGTGTATGTTTATGTATCCGTGCAGTCAAACCTTGTACCTCCAGGTAACTGATAAAACACTATTCATTTGCTGACATACACACTACTGTCACTACCCCTATGTGTGTCTCTTATAATGACATGTTTTTCACCGCTTGACTAAACAAGCCCAGTGTCCTCACATTTGTTTGGAAATGCCTCATCTACTCCACAGACCTTGGGACTGGTAACAGACTCCCAGCTGTCACTGAGTCACATTACATTGCTGGATCTACATGGAGGGAACAGAGACAATGCAGTATAATAGGGATGCTTCAGTATAGTGTTTGCAATGGTTTTCTGGCTGCACTGCAGTAATATGAAGTTTTCCGCCAAATTTGTATAAGCCATGTGACACTTTCCTTCTTCGTTCCAACGTGTGCAACAAATTTAATCAGTTGCGTAACAATCTTACATCCTGTTGCTATGTCTGCCACAAATTTATTAACAATACTGCCATATTGGAGTAAGAAAGCTGGAGGTAAATAATACAACTAATGTCATGTTTTTCTCTAATTTACCTCCAGTTATTTGTCACTTCTTTCCCCCCACACACTTCCCACTGGTTGCTAGGAAGCTGTTGACTGCCAGCTTTCTAGCAACCAGGACACCAGGGTTGAACATACACAGGGCTAAACATGCACTGAGCACAAAGCATACAGTATGGACACTCCGGCCTCAGTGGCAGTGCCAGTGCCACCCCCACCATGGTGTGGAATTCATAATGCCCGACACCCGGCTCAGACATTTCCGGGAGCCAGGGGGGTAGTTTTTTTTCTCTATGATGATCCCCGCGTCAGGCAAGCAGGGCTAAATGTATAGCTGGGAAGCCACTGCTCGTTTAGTACAAGTGGCCCGGGACCACGGCAAAGTACTTCAGGATGGAGAGCAGGAGGAAAGCAGAGAACGTCTGTTCTCTGCTCTGCTCCATGTGAACACTGAGACGGGCACTCGCAGCCTTCCTAACTCAGCTGTCACAGGAATCTGAGCACAGTACTGTGCTCAACCTCCTGTATTGGAAGTGACAGGTTCAATAAAAAGAACCTGTCATTTACAAATGCTATCACACAGGGCCTTGTTAGTCCCTGTGTGATAGCAATAAGTTAAGTGAAAAAAAGTAGAACATAATAAAATAAATAAAAATAAAAAAAGTAAAAAATAATAAAATAATTAAAAATGAAAAAAAAATGATAAAAAAGTAAGAAATAACAAAATCAATAAAAATGGTTTAAGAAAATGGTAAAAAAAATAATATGATAAAAAAAATAAAAAAATATGAAAAACATATTAAATATAAAAAAAATTATTAAATGTTTGAATATATGCGTTTCCCTATTTTGCCTAAGCCTGTGATGCTGAATGTTTTCTATACCCCAGTGCCCAAACTAAAACACAATACCACACTTATTTTCAGTGTTGTCACTTTGAGATAAATACATTAATTTTGAGTTTCAGTTTGGGCATTAGGGCTCAAAAAAGTTACCCATCACTGGTCTAGGTAATGCTTTGCTTGCAGAATCATCATAGTGATTTATCAGAGTAGGAAGTGCTTCTCTGCTGCAGAACTGTCCAAGTGTCTGATTTATCTGTGATCTCTCACATGCTGACTGTGTTTGTGTTCACAGAACTGATGATCTGTTAGAATCCTCATTGTGACAAAATTAAAGGTGAATGGCAATGGTGTAAGTAGCGGGCCACAGCTGTTGGATGGTTATGCCAAGGGTAATGTAAAAAGCATGCTTTGATCTATATGCTTCTCTACAACTTGACCTATTTACAAGGTCTGAACGCTAGTGACACATAAATAGCACATACAGGAACATAGATGACCTCTTTAGCTTAGCTAAACAAAGCCAGAGGTCAGACCAGCACTTGTTTTAGAGAATCCGTGATAGTTTATTTGTTTTCCAAATGTTCACAAGTTTATAAATTGATATTTTATACCATTTCCAGGATTTGCATAAAAATCTTTCTTTCACAAACAAAGGCATAACTATACCCCAGCAGACTATGTGACTACTATGCCGCCCCATGGGAACAGGGGCCCAGCACTATCTGGGGACACAGTTTGCAGGTAATTATAATATCTGTCAAATCTATTGGGATACATTTAATGCATTTATAGTTTGGGAACCTCTATATGCTTGCTATGAATGCACTTAATATTTTGTATTAATTGAGAAATTTCCTTGGAGATGGAGATTAGAGAGGGAGTTGGGTCCTTTACTGGTTTCGCTACGGGGATCCTATACATAGCCCTGTTTACAAAAAAAGCATTAAATACAGCTAGGATTTATGATATTAGTGTGCATTTACTGGAATTTGTAATTAAAAAATCCACCGGTGCCTGATCACAATTTGACTGCTCTGGTCTGAATGAACATCAGATACGAGCATAAACTAGCAAGTGTAAAGCTGGCCATACACCTATAGATTATCTGCAGATTTTCTATGGTGAGATGGAAAAAGTGCAACAGGTTCCTCCATCTACGCTAAACTGTGTGGATGGAGGAATCTCCCACTGGGCCAAGCTTCAGTATCTTGCTAGTCGGCGCCGCTGGCTCTCAAAATACCTGACTGCTCTGATAGGATGCAGGCATTGTTCAGATATTTTGAGAGCCAGAGACCATAGAAAATCTGCAGAAAATCTATAGGTGTATGCTGGGCCGGATTTACTCTCTCTGCTGCCCCAAGGCCAGGTTTCTCAATGCGCCTCCCTACCCACCAACTACCCCCCATGGAGAATGGTAGACCTGCAGGCTGCATACAAGTGATCTCGTCAAAATCGCTGAGATCACTTGTAAAAACCAAGCAGCGGCTTCCCTGCTGTACATTTAACTCTGCTTGCCCAAAGCAGGGCTAAATGTAGAAAACAACTACCCGCCCGGCGCCCGGAACTGCATGTCCTGGGCATCGGGAGATAGGAATTCCACACCCCTGCTGCCCCTCTACTCCCTGCTGCCCCTGGGCCGGGCTTTGGTTGGCCTTGTGGGAAATCCAGCCTTGGGTGTATGGCCAGCTTTACTAGTCTATAGCCAGACCAAGTCCAAAGTTGCTCTTGAACTCATAATAATACTTGGACATTGTCATAGTCGGCCCCGCTGGCTCTCAGAATAGCTGAACAATGCCAGCATCCGAACAGAGTGTGCAGGTATTTTGGGGCCGACTAGCAAGATTCTGAATCTTGGCCCAGTGGGAGATTCCTCCATCCACACAGTTTAGCGTAGATGGAGGAATCTGTTGCACTTTTTCCATCTGACCATAGAAAATCTGCAGATGATCTATAGGTGTATGGCCAGCTTAAGGCGGATGTGTCCTCACTCTGATTCATTCAGCTATTATGTGTATTACGAAAAGACAATGGGAAGAAATTTATCAAAACTGGAGCAGGCATAATCTGGAGCAGTTGCCCAAAGTAACCAACCAGTTTCTCTCTTCACATTGTTCAGTTAGGCTTTGAAAATGAAAGAGAGAAGCTGATTGATTGCGGTGCACAGATGCTCCAGTTTTGATAAATTTGCCTCTATGGGCAGGAAAAGATTCCTAGACTGTTCTTCGCAGAAACAATTGATGATGCTTGGCATCACAAACTGGAAAGTGTCCGAAGTCAAAACATGGTGCAAACAAACACATGCTCCTCCAACTCTAACATGTTTCAGCAAACGGCCTATTGATAGAGAAAGATGTCTTGGCTGTTCACTGCAAAGCACTAAAATAGCTCAACAAAAGTGAGAGTACACTCGGGCATGTCATCTGATGGATGCAAGTGGTAATTAAATAATCATATGCAATACTTGATATTGATCTGACTAAACAAATTAAAGATTTACATTTTTCATTTACCAATTCAAACGAATGGCCAGATTGCAACATGCGTCATGTGATGTCTTACTTCCTACGGGTCGCTTTGGAAGCATTTTCAGGCTGATTCTACATCTAGTGCAATGTAGCAGATTGCTGCTGAAGAGGAAGCTCCTATCAACAAAGCTTGGCAATAACCAGACCCCTCTAAGTGCTGGTATGAAGGGGAGGAGGGACTGAGCAAGCCCAGACACATGAAGTTGAGAATATGGACAGTATGCAAGAACAGAAACAGATAGCAAAAGAGAATGCGTGACAAAATGCAGCGAGATATTACAGAAAGAAGGAAAGCATAAAATAAATGTTGCCATCCTGATCAACAGCAGCCGGGAGAGTGACAGGTTGATTGACTGTCACAGCTGTCACACTGAGAGCCTACCACACAGTACAGGAACTGAGCAGAACAGCAACCTGCTAAAGATTTAACCCTTCTTGTGCCAGATCAGAACAGCTGCATGGACGTTTGGGGGTGAAGACAGAAAGTTTCCCTCCATCACATATAATGACATCATAGGAGGTGACAGGTTTTTAAAGGGTTGATCGAGATACACCCCTTTTCTTTAGGCCCGCCCTAGTCTATATATATAGATCAATGTACGTGCTTATCTGAACGTCTCGATTTAACCGCTGCGCTGCCAGAACACAGTTCACCAATAAGAGGCTGCAAAGGGAAACCACTCCCTTGTCAAGGCACAGTGCTTGCAGAGTGGACTTTACACCTGACTGTGACATAGAGAGCAGCACCTGACACTCAGACTACAGCCATGCCACTGTTTACAAGGGCGATCGGCCTCCTGCGCCAAACGGTGAACCCTCGCATTACCAACAAGGCATGGGCTTCACAGGGGGCTAAAAATACAGAAAAATCGGTTTCCGGAAGGGTAAGTCAAGACATTGCACTTTGAAAGTTTTAACTTTTGTAATTGGGGAAGCATGCTTTAAGTTAATACATAACTTAATAATGAAAGGATTTAATCGAGGGATAATCATACCACTTTGTGAATTAAGGTCAATCGGGAAAGCATTTCCAGGAAACTGCATTGCTTATATCAACTTCATATAGCAAAATTTACGCTTCAGGGGTAAGTCGTGTTAATATAGGAAAAAGAAACGCAAACACATTCACTACATTTTCAATACTATTTATTTGCATGTCTTGGTAACATGTTTTAACATAATTACGTATCTGCAGTTGATGCATCTTTCACATACCTTCCTTGTGTGAATTTCAAAACAGAACACAGTACGATGCAAGTACAATATATTAAAGCAAATGGGCAGCTTCTCTAGTATCAGGTTTCCAACTCTTTGTAATACAGGGTACCACGTCGTATGTCAATGCTCCCTTTGTTTTCATTGTCTTTAGGATAAGATACAAAAAAAACATAGCCAATTCCTGTAAACCTTGACAGGATTTTAAACACGTTGATATTTCCTCATTGCACAATTATGATAAGAAGGGCGGTTGCAAACGAGTCACTCAGAGGTTACAAGACGTCAACAACACGACTTACCCCATAAGAGTCAACTCTGCTATATGAAGGCGATAAAAGCAGCACACCTGTTTGCTGGAAAGGCTTTCCGGACTAATCTCAATTCACAAAAGTGCTATGATTATCTCTTAGGACTAAGCTAGAGCCTTCTAGGAATACATTCTGATTCAACGTAGAGCTGAATCTGAGTATTAGAGATACCTACACGATCCATACATCTGATTATACTCGCCCACTTAATCCCCCAGTGCTCCTATTCACATAAGCTGACATTTACTGGTTCTTTGCTTCCCCGATGCTTGGCAAGCATTCATTCATACATCCTCTGTATAATACTTCATAGCATGCAGCCCCTACCCCTCCTTGTGAAGGTTTCTGTTAATATTCAATTGAAGGGGCGGGGGGGAGAGAGCGGCACGAGGCTAACGACCTTGGGAAGTGTCCCGGTCACCAAACAGAGGCCTGCAACTCCCGAAGGACACAGCAGTGACGTAGATCCATCTCTGCGTGGTGTCTTAATAAAAGAAAATGTTAATTCATACCAGTAGCAAATGTATGTAATTTATATTCATGAGTGTATGAACAATACAATCTACAGCACATAAATAATCTGACCTATATGGGGAATTCAGATGACGGGGTCTTTATTGAAACCATGCAATTTTCAGTACACTGCAGTCCTGCATCAATTATTTTACTGTGTAATATAGCAATGTGAGTACAGGTAGAGCTATATGTTAAGCAAAATGCCTGCCAATTGATTCACAAACCTGCAGATCTCTTATAGTAACTCCAAGATGTTATAAAAGACACACATTATCACATCTCTGTATTCATTACAGTGCTTATTTGTGTATCACCCAGCTGTTGATACTGTCCTTCCTTCGGGAGGGTGGCTACTTTTGTTCCCCATGGTCCGGGTGTGTGTTGTAAAGTAGTTACCGCTCCAAACTCACTCCTGTGATGGACTACAATCCCATGTTTAGTTTACTAAGGCCTTGTTCACACCAAATGCAGAGCAGATCCGGTCAGGTTTCTGCACACGCACGCTAGTCTTTTAGATGCGTTTGCAGATCCAGAGCAGGTAAAATAGGGCCTGCTGCAGTTTTTTTACCTGCTCTGGATCTGCACGCTGCGATATGAACTGGAGCTAAAAATACCATTGGAATACATTGGACGCAGTTTTGATCCGGTCTGTACCTGCTCTGCTCTGCACCTGCTCTGCGCTTGGTGTGAACTAGCCCTAATTTGTATTGAGATTATAGTCCATAATGGGAGTGAGCTTGGAGCGGTGACTACTTTACAACACACACAGGGACCATGGGGAACAAAAGTAGCCACCCTCCAGAAGGAAGGACAGTGTCAGCACCAATTCAGAGATGATTTGTGATCTACAGCCGAGTGATACACAAATAAGATACATTGATGTTAATGTTTCAGGTACTTGAATGCATTATTAGGATTTAACCCCTGATTTCAGTGTCCCTTAGATCTATAAAATATTTTAGGTCAATTGCAACCATTAGAATTTGCTTCTTGGAATCCCCTGTACTTTGGATTGACCTGTACACTGTATTGACAAGGAACATGCTGATTAGAGGAGAAAGTAGCGCAAGCAGAAGGATTACCTGATCAGTCTGCAGCTGCTCTTTCACTGTCCAATCAGCAGGCTAGGGGTGGAGAGAAAACACCACTGTATTCCTTAACTATAAGTGGTGTCATCCGCCGGGCTGTGCTATGTGAGGAGGCTGTATATATTTCAGGACTGGATGGACAGAAATACAAATCCTTTTACCGCTTTATATGTATTTCATCTGTGCATTTTGTTTACCTGGAGTTCAGCTTTAAGATGACCATACATTTCAGAGCATGTTAGGATGTTAGCAAATCAACCAAAGGCCGAACTGTATATTTGCTGCCCGCCAGGCACTTAGGCTACACATTTTCATCCAAAGAAATTGGACAATATGTTTATTCTGCTCCCCTAAATAATTATATAATATAATAATAATTAAGGAATACTGTACGTGCCTTTCACAGGCGTTTTTATTACAATGCCAACTGGAGCCCAAGGTTGTAATTACAAGTCTTTACTGTAAATGTGACACACCTTTACAAACTAACAAAAAGAAGAAAATGGCAAGCAATGGAGATGGAGTATAGAAGCTAAAACTTAAAGCACACCTGATCTTGCCACAATGCATCTGTTAATATTTTTAATATAATTTTATCTAATTACTAGAGATAAGATATAGGATATATTGACATAAGAAGAATCAACAAAGTTAGCCTACATATCAAACAGTGGGCCAAAATGAGACATCTAAATCTACAAGGGGTCCGCATTATATTTACTAAGGGCCACACCTACTTAAAGCCTAGCTTCCCTCAAAAACTCCCTACTGCCCACCCCTCTCTAACCTATTCAGCAAGTGTTTAATTTTTTTACCTGGGGAAGTAAATGATACACACCAGAATCCCCCCATCCAGGTTCCTCATTGATGCTGTTACCACTGGTGGGGACCGCTAATCCACCACCACACAGTAACCCTTGCATCCGATCCCCTTGACTCCCCTTGAGCCAACATCAGTAGTCTTCTGTATCCTGCAAGGACCCCTCCAGAGGACAGTCACTGGGAATTGTCCATGTCACACAGGCAGTGATGTAAACACCCAGAAGATGGGCCCCTGCAGGATGAAAATAGAGATAAGAAGGACCCGGCGTGGGATGATCGTGTGACCGCAGCTTAAAGCGACACTAAACTCAGGAGTTCTTAAAAATACATTCAAGTACCTGAACTATTAACAAAAAATGTATCTTATTTGTGTATCACTCGGCTGTAGATCCTCAAATCATCTCTGAATTGGTGCTGACACTGTCCTTTCTTCTGGAGGGTGGCTACTTTTGTTCCCCATGGTCCCTGTGTGTGTTGTAAAGTAGCCACCGCTCCAAGCTCGCTCCCATGATGGACTACAATCTCAATAGATATTATTAAACCATTCCTGAGATTGTAGTCCATCACAGGAGTGAGCTTGGAGCAGTGGCTACTTTACAACACACACAGGGACCATGGGGAACAAAAGTAGTCATCCTCCAGAAGGAAGGACAATGTCAGCATCAATTCAGAGATGATCTCTTTGTGGATGGGGCAAACGTTTATTCCATGTCTGAATGACAAAGCCTGGTATTGCATTACAATAATTTCTCTTAAGGCCGTGTTCACACTGTTTGCAGTAAAGTGTGGTAAAATGTGTGTATTGCTGCAGTTGATGCACCCAGCATGGTCCAATGTAGGGATGCACCAATACCATTTTTTCAAGACCGAGTACAAGTAACAATACTTTTCCTCAAGTACTCGTCGATTCCAATTACCAATAAAAAAAAATGTCAGTGTCATGTTACAGTATTTCTAAAACAAGTCTGACTAATGGCTTTAGGACAGTGGTGGAGTGCCAGGGCCCGGACTCAGCTGTAACCGCTGCAAACCTGGTAGTTCTGCACCGACTCCAAGCTTTAGAGGGACTACAAAGCCCAGCAATACGTTATATAGCAATGCAGAATGCCACCAGCTGTAGAAGACTACAAATCCCAGCAACACATTATACAGCAATGCAGAATAATATGAAGCTACATACGCTGTGTTGCTCACCAGGGCTGCATGCAAGTTCTTACCAGGGCTACATGCAGGGTTTTACCAAGGTTGCATGCTGGGTTGCACTAGGGCTGCGTGCGGGTTGGTGCAGGGCTGCTCGGGTATGTGCGGGTCTCACCAGGGCTGCGTGCAGGGTTTTACCAAGGCTGCGTGTAGGGTCTCACCAGGGTTGCGTGTAGAAGTTGCTAGGGGGGAGCCCAGTTGTTATTACAAAAAGTGTCAAAAATGCATTTACATGTGTTTTTGATGCAATTCCATTAAAGTGTATGAGGCCAAAAACACACTTTGTCACACCAAAATAAGCATATGCAACGTTTTCAAAAATGCACAACAGCAAATTGCATAGATGTGAACGGGCACCATAAGGAATCATGAGATTCATCTGGTTGTGTGTTCTTTTGCAACAAAATCGCACAGATATGAGTGGGCACCAAAGGAAGTAAGAGGATTCCTCTTGTGTGTTCTCATGCGACAATTGGCAAAGATGTGAACGGGCACCATAGGGAATGATGGGATTCCTCTTGGCATGCGTTCTCACAGGAAAAATCGCACCAACGTGAACTGGCATTATAGGAAATGATAGGCTTTATCTTGTGCGTTCTCATATGACAGATTTCAAAGACGTGAACAGGTGCCATAGGGAATGATGGGATTTGTCTTGGCCTGCGTTCTCATGCAATAAATCGCACATATGTGAACGGTTGTTATAGGAAATGATGGGATTCTTCTTGCTGTGAACGGGGGTTTAGTGGAAAACCAAAATCATAAGTACACTCTCTACCCTCTTACATAATTTTTTGTTTACTTTGCTTCACATATATTTGTCAGATTGTCTCGATCAGAACAGCTATTTATGTATCACAACAAATATTTGTAGCCGCTTTAAAACACAGACATAGCTAGCGCAGTTATTTAACTCTCAAATCAACCATGGAGCAAAGCGGATTTCCTCAGAGATATGACCATGCTCACTGAACAGGAAAGCAATGACTGCTTCCTGAATAAACCACTTTGTAACATGTTTCTAAGTTTCATCAATTGACCTCACTAGTAAATCTAATGCGTGTTGGAAAACGAAAGAAGCATGGGCAAAATATACACCAGAACTGTAAGGTCTGGTTCACACCTGGGCGTCTTACAGCGCGTTCCTACGCTCTGTAAAACGCTCAACATGTGGAAGCCAATGATTGCCTATGGACATGGTTCCCACCTGGGCATTTTACAGCGCGTAGGAACGCGCTGCAAAACGCTTTACGCCCAAAGAAGCACAGGAGCTTCTTTGGGGCGTATTTGTCGCGCGTATCCATTGGGACACAGCCGGATAGCCCTCAGAAACGCACGTTTGTCGCGCGTTTCTTTTACCGCAAATCGCGGCGGCAAACGCGCATATTCCGTACGCCTAGGTGTGAACCCAGCCTTAGAGGGGTGTAGAAATATCTGCCCCTACCAAAGACAGCTAAAGAGGGGAGGAATGTAAAACTGGCCATACACTGCTTAGATTTAGCACTTTCTTTCGACTTTCTATTCATGAGGTCGAATCGGTTTCGATGGACAAGGTTATGAAGATGTCTCCGTGTTTACATGATTGAGGAATGGAAAGGTTCATGTTAAAACATATCTAAACCCAAAACCAAAAATGGAATAGATTGCAGCTTACCAGTCCTAAGATGTGGTGGCTGCATTAGTTATCTTTTTTCAGGCTAACAACAGCAAGTACAGAAAATCCTTGTTGCTCTTAATCATAGAGGTTTATGACTAAGCCGGCTTGTGGTGAAACAGACCTTGAAAGGGACTGGGCGGTATCTGGTTGGAGTCAATAAATGTGTTTATTGGAGTTTTGGCATCAGAGTGCAGCTCTTTGGGATTTATGCACTAAATACACGTGTGAGCACCTGATCTCTCTCTGCGCTGAGTTAATAAATTACCGGGAACCAGAAGTGTCTTTTTTTTTTTTTACATGTATATGTGACAATCATGGATGTCTTCCTAGTTAAAACTGAGTGTAGACATTAATGCAAAGGAAGTGAGCCATTTGCAGAACTATAAGGGAAAGAATACCCTAAAGAAAATGAATACAGCCAACAGTTTTATGGTTTTGGGTTTAGCTACACTAAGTTTTTGTATTTACACTTGCATTCCCGATACACCGTACTCTATAAAATTGGAGAATGAGCAGCAATATAGCAGATGAGCCTTAATCTAGAAAAATGTAAAGTCATGCACGTGGGAGCTATGAATACACATGCTGACTACACCTTGGGTAGGGTTTTGCTGGGGAAAACAGAGATGGAGAAGGATCTTGGGGTCCTTATAAACCACCAAGAGAAGTAAGGACGCCGGCATCACATGTCCTGCCTGGGGAAAGGGATCCTGCGAGAACTCGAAATGTTGCACTGAGTGTGATTATGCTGCATTTTCATCAATAGACGCATCTGTATCTGCATAACGGCTGTCATCCATTGATCACCGCTGAACCCACTTTAATCTCTATGGAAAAAGCGGTCAGGAGTGTGATGGGTTCACGGACTGTTCCTTATAGACCACAGTCTCAGCAATAGCATGCAATGCCAAGCTGCATCTAAGAAAGCCAGTAGTATATTATTTGTATTATAAGAGGGATATATTCAAGGGAAAGAAATATCATTTTACCACTTTACAAAACACTGGTAAGTCCCCCATCTTGAGTATGTGGTTCAATTACATAGCTTGAAAAAAGACACAAGTCCATCGAGTTCAATCTATAGAGATATTGGGGGGTTGGGGGGGGGGGAGAGAGAAGAAAAGCCTAAACAGCATGCTATGCCCACAGTTACCCCCTGTTGATTCAGAGGAGGCAAAAAACCCCTATAAAGCATGGTTCAATTTACTCCAACAGGGGGAAAAAATTCCTTCCTGATCCCATAAGGCATTTGGATATTCCGTGGATCAACTCTGGTTACCAATCCTTAGAGGGGATGTCCATGAACTAGAAAGAGTTCAGAGAAGGGCAATCAAATTAATAAGAGGGATAGCGGGGTTTGAGTTATCAAGAACACTTAAGAAAATAACAATTGTTCTCCTTAGAGAATAGACACTTAAGAGGTGACATGATCGCAGTTTACAAAGTCATCAATGGGGACAGCAGTATTGTGAACGCACTACTTAAACCAAGTACCGGGAGGAAGATGCAAGGGCACAACAAGAAGTTGGAGGGGATGAGGTATAATCTTAAACTTAGGGGTATTTTAATTTGAGAGTGGTAAAAATGTGGAATTCACTTCCACAGATAGTTGTATCAACTGGAAATTGCTTCAAAAAACAATTGGATGAGTTTCCACAGTTCACAAATCATAAAGGGTTATGGAACATCCTAGCATTATATACAAACACTATATAGGTTAACCCTGACCCTAAATCCTACAGTATTTCTTTATTCAACCTCAACTACTATGTATTTCCTGTTTACATACACATGCAAATATCTAGATGACAGTGCTACCTGTAGAACTTCCCCACCTAACTAAACCATCTGTCTTTCTTATAGGACCAAGCCATTGGACTGGTTGTGCTGTTCTCCGTTTTCTTGATTCCATCTGGATGGATCCTGTCGCACCTTGATGACTACAAGCGCAAGGCAGACTAAAACATTTGCCTAAACTCTGTGGACCAGTCTGTGGGCTGAAATGGAAGTTATCAGCACAAAGCCGCGTAACCAGCTGAGTTGGTGGAACTACTCCATGGAGTGTGCTGTCCTTACCACTTATTTTTATACTTAATAAAACTATTGTCAACCGGTTTGTTTTGTACAAAAACTTTGTGTGCGTATTGTGTGGGCATTGGGGATCTGTATGCAGGACGCTTCATTCTCTGCTACTTCCATAAAGATCTGTGCTTCTAAGGCCTGGTTCACACCTGGGCGTTTTACATCGCTGATCGACGCGCTGTAAAACACTCAGCATGTGAAAACCAATAATTGCCTATGGGCATGGTTCCCACCTGGGCGGATTTCTGCACGTAGGGACGCTCTGAAAAACACCCTACGCCCAGAGAAGTACAAGAGCTTCTTCGGGGCGTATTTTCCGCGCGTATCCATTAGGATACAGCCGGATAGCCATCGTTTGTCGCGCGTTTCTTTTACCGCAAATCGCGGTGCAAACGCACATATTCCGTACGCCCAGGTGTGAACCCAGCCTAAGGAGTACCAGAATAAACCTGTAAAGCAAAATCTGGTCTTCTCTATCTTTATATATAGTAGGTTAATGGCCCTTTGATGTGGTAGATGCATTATTTATTTATTTTCAGGCTTACATTCCTTCATTTTCACCTAGTGATTCCGTCAGTAACACACTTCCTGTCCGAGGCTGACAACACTCACTCAATGTATTGTATCCGTCAGCGTTCACCCGGCACTGCTCATTCCTGATTAAGGATGAAGTACTCTGCTCAGGTGTGATCACAGGGTGTTGGTCGAATCCTGCTTGAAATCCGCAAAAGCTTTGAACCCTACTGGTGTAAGAAAAAAAACAACAACAAAAAAAGACACTAAATTCTGTCCATTTACAAGGCTTATAGGCATGCTATTGTCGAAAAGGGATTTTCTCTTGCAAGGGACTTTTTTTTTTTTAAATTCCAGGGTGTGCGCTTGCTGACACAGGCAAGCCTGTTCTTTGTTTTCAGCATGTCACCACAAACGTGGGAGTGCAGTGCAGTAAAGTAATATGAACCAAAGCACCACATATTTACCCCCTCCCCATTGCCATATCTGTTATTAGATTTCAGCAATCACCTTTATTAAAAAATGACAGGCAGGCCTAAAGTAAAAGGCAGTTTCTGCACACAGAGGTAATAGGGGGTGAGCAATTTCTGAAGGACAAAGCTTTGGTCAAGCCGCACCACCTAGAGTTAGTCTGCCTTTTCTGGCTCAGAGTGGCCGTACTATGTAGCTACACACAGGAGGTGCTGAAGTGGCTGGTAAAGCCTTTCTCTTCTTGTTCCTCCCACTTGCAGAGCTGTCAGTTATCTGCAAGTGCTACTAGTGCGCCCTTTCCTCCTCCTCTACTGCTAATCCTGCCATAGCCCCACAAACTGGCTATGAAGAGAATTAACTGAGCGCACGAACACCAACTTCTGCAGAAGGAAGATCTTGGCTATGTCCAAAGGTGACAATTATTTGGAGAGAAGGGTTCAGCAAAAGAGCAGTCGGGGGACATCAGGCAAGGAGCAGCAGGAGGCAGTAATGTTCCAGCAGCTGAAGCTTACTGCAAAGAAGGCTCCAGCGATAAAGGGAGGGGAGGTAATAATAGGGTGGCAGACAATCTGTGGGTCCCACCTACTGGAAAGGAGGAAAGTGCGAAGTAGAACAGAAGAAAGGAACGATTTTGGCCAGGGGCAGTAGCAGCATGCGGAGGACTGGGGGAAGTAGCCATCCAAATCCATCTGCCGGTACTGCCCAACAGGTACAGGCCACTGGTATCCCCAGGGCTGATCTACAGAACTCTGCAGTGCGAGCCTTTTTTAACCTTATTTGCTGCTGGAGTCCCCAAATAACCCCCATGCTTAGAATTTTAATGCCAGCTTATCAAAACTGCTGGCATTGAAGCAGCTCCCATTCTAGCTTGTGAAGTTAGTCTCCTTCAATGAGTTTATGGCCCGTGCTACCCGTGACATGTACCCAGTTGCCTTTATTTTGCCCTTCCCTCCACCAGCATGTGGTATGCAATGTGTCTGTGTTGCTGGACCACACAGTCACCAGCAGGGTACATATGACCACAGACACATGGTCCAGTAAGCATGGGCAGGGACTCTACATATCCTTCACGGCACATTGGATCAATCTTCTGGCAACTAAGAAAGATGCAGGATGGGGCACACCACTGGAGCTGGTACTGCCATGTCTTGTCCAATGGTGACAGAGCAGTCACCTGCATCCCCTTCCTTATATTGGCCTCATCCTCCAACTCTTTGGAACTCGGTCACCCCTACCCCCCAAGTGCCCAGAGTATATGCAGCTTTCCAAACTAAATGCTGCCAGGCTGTTGCAACTTGTATGCTTGGGGGACCAGAACACACTGGGTTAAAGCTACAGGCAGGTCTCATAGCCCTGGCCAGGAGGTGGCTGACTCTATGTCATCTTCAGACAGGCAACATCGTATGTGACAACAGCACAAACCTGTGGGCTGCGCTTGTTCTGGGGGGGGAAAAAAAAGTCACATGTACCTTGCCTCCCACAATCTCCTTCCCTTCTATGGGATTATGGCATGAGGAGGAGAGGCTCTGGGGAGCTTGAATTATACGGAAATAATATTGTTTATGCTTAGTCAATCATGCAAGGTAAAGAACTGGTGAAAACAAGCTGTTGTTTTATATTCACCTTGCAAGCTGCTGTAGTGCATGCTGCTATCTGTACACAATCTGATGTAATATGTGAAGACAAGAGTTAAGAACTTTACAGAAATTGGTTTATTTGCCATCTCAGTGCAGACACAAAACCTAAAACGTAACAAAGAGGCTGAATCTTCGACCTAAAGTCAGAACGCTTGCCGGATGCCTCGGATATTAGAGGAAATGGATTGCTCCCAAATGAGTCCTGATTTAATCCCCAAACTGTGCTGATAATACAGCAGATTCCTGTGGCAGAGACGGGACTGTCGCAATCTCTGGGTGGTGAATTGAAAGGATTCTACGTCAAGATGTCGTGGGCCTGGTGTTCTACCAGCATCTCCATGCTCTTCACATCTGTGCACCAGAACTCTAGACGGTCTTTCATACCCTTGATCTGGGGAGCAGGGAAGGAGACACATCAGGAAAAATAACTTATTATTAGGGAAACATAAGTGATTAGAATTACATATGCAAGATTAAAAGTAACATTAAAGTGATATTCACCCCCCCCTCTCTAGTGTAAGGACTTACCTTAAATAATGCCTCTTGATCCGATCATCATCAGTAGTTTTCAGCTGTCCCTCCAGCGCTGGTGCCGGTCTCTGATCCAGCGTTGACTGCTGAGTCTTCTGTGTCGGAGCCTGTACGGGTGCACGGTGCTGGGCTGCGTGCATAGACTTACACTGTGTCTCTCCCCGCCGAAGACCTCTACTGCGCACGCGCCCGCCCCATGATCCTTTGCAGCCGCCCAAGACACAGGTAAGTTTTAACCTTTTTTGTAACTTTTTCTTTTTTATGTTTTTGCATATATCTACTGCTAGCTAGCAGTATACATGTAACAAAACCCTGAGGGTTTAATTATTCTTTAAGGGGATGAACGTTGCTGGGAAACAAAATATACACATGCATGTGTAAAGGCCCAGACAACTGCAAAATAAATCAGTCAGTTGCTACTGCTATCAGTGGAACAATTACTGTTCAAAGACAGTTCACCAAAATAACTTTACTGCAAGTTTGATCAAATCTGGGTGTAGCTGCTGCACCTTGTCACATTATTCTGTGTAAGCTCCCTCTGAGGATGCTGCTCAGAATCTGTCAGCCTTGTTGGATCTGCATTTCTACAGCATCAGACTCATTAGGAACATGATGGTAAAGATGCAGATGTTGTGAGCATGGAAACCAGTGGAAGATACCAAGTAGTGAGGCTTTGTCTACTAGTAAAAGTAGAAATGCAAGATTGTCATATTGTCCTAAAGTGTACCTGCCAGAAGTCCAATTATACAATGGTGAATGCAGATCTTTGGCAAATGGTTAAAACAAAACTTCAACAAAATTATCACATTACCTGCTGGAGATCAAGAACTCGAGGCTGGACCCATGTGATGTGTACTCGCTTGTCTACCTCATCAATGCTACCCCGCAGCAAACCAACAGACAATGCTTTCATAACCAGCAGCTCCACCTTCAAGAAGAAAAAGAGACCTAAATTCACTTCTGCTTTACTATACAAGAAAAGGGGTTTTATGAATTCTTTTTTTTTTACGAAGAACTATTTATTGGGTAATTCAAGTTCAGGATACAATATTGTTCGTTTTTAAAAAGGGTAGTAATGAGAGGAGTGAAACATACACAGAATGACCTTTCGAGTGTAAAGACAGTTTTCAAGTGATTTTTACTTGATTGTAATTCCAGATTTTGAGAATTACATTTCAGATTGGTAAATAGTCCCTCTAGTGGTCATTAGAATATGGAGTAATACGAATATCTATTCCTGTTGAGATCAGCTCTTTAACTAGCTCCCGGCCAGCCGCTGTGTATACACGGCCGTCCGGGAGCTTCTTGGATGTAACTGGGCGTGTATACACGTCCTGTTACATCCGCCCGCTCGGGGGCGCTGCACGCGCGAGCGGGAAAACCCCGCTATTTGAACACAAGCTCCCTCCGGTCCCCTCTCCGCTGTCAGAATGCGGAAGTGGTGTATATTACATCACTTCCGCATTCTCCAGCTTCAGATGCTGGAGAGAAGCTGATGAAGCAGATCTCTGCTTCATCAGCTTCTTCAGGGGGGTCCTAGGTGACATTAGGGGGTCTTGGAGACCCCTGATGTCTCCATAATAAAAAAAAAAAAAAAAAAAAAAAAAAAAAATTGTAAAAAAAGTGTAAAGTTTACCCCCAAATTTTTTTAAAGTTACACAAAAAAGAATTGAAAAAAACGAAAAAAATGTTTAAAGTCCCCACCCCTACATACACGCATGTAAACATGCGTCAGGTGCGCATACCTGCGAAAACGACGATTGCGCCCATTACGCCGCACATGTTACATATCGCCGCAAACGTCGGAATGAGAGCAATAGTTCTAGGGCCATCAATCACTGATAACACTAAACTGATGAGCGGTAAAAGCTTTTAAAGTGTCGCCTATGACCAATTTTGGGTATGCTAGTTTTTTGCGATTTTGCGAGTGCGCGCAATTTTTAAGCTTGACATGTTTGATGTCTATTTACCCGACGTGACCCTGTCTTTTATATTTTACCAAAAAAGTGGGTAATAGTTGTTTTATAACATAATGTTTCGCAATTTTCAGTAATTTCTCCTGAATATAGTAAAAAATAAAACCCGCAGCGGTGATTAAATACCACCATAAGAAAGCTCTATCTGTCCCCAAAAAATGGTATAAAATTAATTTCAGTACAGCGTTGCATGACGGAATAAATGTCAGTCAAAGTATCGCAGCGCGGAACACTGAAAAATGGCCTGGCCAGGAAGGGGGTGTAAACACCTGGTCTTCAAGCGGTTAAAGGCCTCTGCACTTCATAGTTGACAGCAGATCTAAGGCCTTGTTCACACCAAATGCATTTTCGATGCGTTTGCAGATCCAGAGCAGGTAAAATAGGGCCTACTGCAGTTTTTTCACCTGCTCTGGAACTGCACACTGCGATGTGAACTGGAGCAAAAAATACCATTGGAATACATTGGACGCAGTTTTGATCCGGTCTGCAACTGATCTGCTCTGCACCTGCGCTTGGTGTGAACAAGGCCTAAAGCATACTGTATTGTATCAAACTCAATTTTCCAATCAGTTTAGTGAAGCACATTCACTGTACAGCATAACAGGAAGTGGAGTATACATGTGTAAAATGGAAATATGGCCGCTGTCATATACATATCTTCTTTTACGAACAATATACAGAAACAGGATTTTTGAAATGGTAGCACCAATTGATATTATTTATATGAAGCCAATCACATTAACACAATGCGCGACAAATCCCAGGCGCCAGGTCGACTAGAAAGTGTGTCTTGGCGCCTGGGCTTGGTAGCCTGTTCACTGTCCCTTGCTGCTGCCTCCACCTCTTGTCACCACTATCAGCTCTGCTCTTCTCCTCCCCGCTGGATGCCGGCTGCAGTGGTCTGTGCTCTCTTCAATCATCGCTGCTTTCCACGCATGTATCGGCAGCAGGGATCGGACTGCTACAGCCGGAGCCCAGCGGGGAGGAGAGGCCGCTGTGCCCCCCCCCCCCCCCCCCTTTAGCAGCTCCTAGCCCCTGGATGGCGCACTTGTCGCCGGCGCTAGAAAGCCAGCGACAAGTGTCCCACCCAGTGGCTAGGAGCAGTAGTCTCCTTCAGGTCCCTCCTCTGCTAATTGACAGAACGGGAGGGTGCAATAGACAGCCTGCTATTGGCTAGCGCAATTTAAAATAACCAATAGCAGGCTGGCTATTGCTGTCAGCCACTGCCTGCTGTGTTTTTATTCAGCAGGCAACTGTAATTCGCCAGTGAAGTGGAAAGGTGACACTTGGGGTCATAAACCCTAAGGTCACTTTAAAAAGAACATGTCATCTCCAAAGTGCTATCACATAGGGGGCTTGTGAGCCCCCCCTCCCCATGTGATAGCAATGAAGAAAAATAAACAAAAAGTTTAAAAAATAAAAGTTAAATAAACTAAAATTAAAACAAAAAAATTAAAGTCCCCCACCCCTGCGAACGTGCACATTTAAAAAACACCTGACTCCTAACTTTTTTAGTTGGCTCCTAGATTCACAGAAAACTTGTCAAGCCTGGCATTATCATGCATGTCTGAAAATCTCCTAAAATGTTTCTAGATGAATGCATATCCGTCAGGGTAGATCACTTCACTATAACAGACGCAGACAGTGACTACCATATGTTAAACAGTCTGAACTCACATCATTAACATTGACTTGTGCACTCTTTGCTATCTCTTCAAACGTTAGTTGGCGGTGATTTGCTGGCCGTGTGAATGTCATCTAGGAGATGAAATAAAGAACACGTTGGAGAGTGTTGCATAACACACAATACATAAATGTGGTTTCTTATGTTACAACAGATAATGATCAGAAGTCTAACAGATATCTCACCTCCATTAAACACAGCAGCTGAATCTTCTTCAGCAACAAGCTTTCATTCGCAGCAAGGTCAGGCTAATAGGAAACACATATTATGGTAAAACATACACAGAAGCACAAAATAAAACTACTAAAATTATTTTTCTATTGTGTGGTCCTCACTTGCTGTCCCCATGCTGTTTTCAAGGCACGGAATGTCTCCACGTTGCCGCTGTTGAAGGCGTAGAGGGTGTCTATCAGCCACTGTCGATCAGAACTGCGCAGTGATTCCAATACTGGATGCATCAACTGCAGGAACAAGTCAAAAGGGTCTCAATGCGTGAATTTATTGAAATAGTTATAAAAATCAGCCCTTCCACTACTATGCTGTTTAGGAGGCACTACAAATGTATAAGCACATCAGCACGCACCTATTAACATACCAACAGAAAGAACTTACCAGTTCTCCAAAGTTATAGACCCCATCACCAAGTAACCCAGCCAGGCCAAGTGTAAAGGCTCTATCTTGATGTTCTGTTACTGCAACCAAAAAAGAAGACCGTAATAAGTAATGTAACTTCAGTCACTTAATAAAGTAGCAATTATATCATGTTAGGGTAACATCAACCTGCACTCTGAGAAAAGTCTGACTTTAAATGGACAGTAATACCTCGGCTCACATACGCTTCTGTTCGCAAACAATTCGGCTCGCGAACAGAAAGTTCAGCAAAATGTTGCTTCCGTTCACGAACTCCAATTTGGATGACGAACACGACCATCTTCCCTGCAGACAGACCTGTGCACACTTGCTGTGAAGCTTTTTAGCACACACAGTACAGTATTTGATTCGGTTAGCGAGCAGAATCGTGGAACAAATTAAGCTTGTGAACCGAAGTACCACTGTAGTAGCAGACAATTTAAAACAAATCTTAAAGGTGAACTCCAAAGAGATATAAAAAGGCCACTCTGTGTTCATTAATAGATCATTACATTTATTTATTTTAAGCAAGCAGCTTAACTACCGGAATCTGACATGGTGTCAGCCAATGCAGAAACAGGCCAAGAAGCATTCTAAGGGGGAGGAGAGTGCAAAAGGAGGAGTGGCGAGGCCTGTAAATGTTATTGAACTGCAGCAGAAAAACATCAAATATCTTCCCTGCAAGACAGGCCTGTTCTGTGTGGCGGAGCTGTGTAAATCTCTGGACCGGAGGGACAAAAATACAAATCCTTCTCCAGAAAAAGCAGCTCCCTTATATGTATTTTATCTGTGTATTTAGCAGTTAACCTAGAGTTCACCTTTATTATATATTTATTGAACTGCAAGTCAATACATATGTATCCTACAAGGCAGAACTAATAACATCCTGGTTGGCTCCACAGCACCAGTGTGCAAGGCTGACCAAATCTACAGAGCTATTCACTAAAGGGTGAAGAGTTTGGAGAAGGCAGGAGAAGTGAATAATCTAGGACAACATAGCTGATTCTGAAAAATTCTCCAATTCAGCTCACTTTCCAGTTCAGCTATGTTGTCCTAGACTGTTCACTTCTCCTGCCTTCTCCAATCCCTTCACCCTTTAGTGAATAACCTTGCTAATCTTTTATGATGCTCTCTCCCACTCTGGTGAATGTAGTGATCTTGCTGAGATTGTCTGCTGCCTGTGCACCCCATCCTTCTCAGGCGTTTGATATACTGTTGTGTAAGGACAAACAAGAACGGGGAGACTTCTACACACTGAAACTCTCTCTTCTAAGTCCAGAATAAAGTCCAGTTAACTAGCTTAGAAAATGGTAAGTCCCTCCGCACTCCTCACAGCATATCCGGCCAAATAGCAATGGTGGTGCTCGCAGTGATATTCACGGATGGCGCCGTGCACAACAGTGAAAAGCAGGAATCGTCAGCACTCGGTAAATGGACGTTTATTATTTGATCATCATTTACCGAGTGCTGGTGATTCCTGCTTTTCACAGTTAACTAGCTTGTTATTTTGACGAGTCATTCATGTTGCGCTTGACTCAGGCATTGTTACTGCGCATTTTTTTTAAAGTTTCAAAATGAATGGCTTTTTTTTTTTGCTTTCTAAAATTAATAGCACAACGTGCCAACAAATGTAACGGCATGATGCACTGAGCTAGAAAGGTGTGAATAGGCCCTTAGAGAAAATTAATTTAAAGTGAAAAGAAATATCCCTAAAAATTGTCATCAAACTAATTTGGAGCACAGGTGAGAAAATCAGAAGCACACAGGTACATTCATTTATTCTGAAGGTCCATGTTAAATATAAACCATAAAATGCTTACTTGGTAGGTCTTTGATGTCTGTGCAGCCTAGAAATCTCAGAGCATCTTTGTAATAGGAAGCATGATTGCCAATGGTCTGGTAATATTTGCTAGACAGGTCATAAAAGCGGCTGTGCACAGACGTGACACCAGCAAGTCCTCCAAGCATCTCCTCTGCACCTTCAATGGTTTCCTACAATCAAATAAACAATTTACATATCGGGGTAAACAGAATCCAGATATTAAAGTCAATAGTCATGCCCAGCAATCTAAACTTTGTTTACAAGGTTATTTCAAAACAGGTCATCAGTACTTTCTTTTAGGTAACCCATATAATGAACGAGCACCACAAGCAGCTGAACCACATACTAGGAATGCACCGATACCAAGTAACGTACTCGGTACAAGTACAAATACTTTTCCAGCTCCAAGACTAGTCTAGAGAAAAATGCAAAAGTTAGGAGGCAGCTGTCATTTGTAAGGAGCTCACAGAGCTCCTGGGATTTGTACATTTCTGTTTTAATGTATGATTTTGTTTTTATAAACATATACAAAGGAATGTGCCAATACCATTTTTGCAAGTACAAGTACTAATACTTGCCCAAGTACTTAGACACAAGTACTGATACATTTTGTTTATTGTCATGTGACAGTTTTTCTAACACAAAATCGACTTATTACTTCAGGAAAGTGGTGGAGCACCAGAGACAGGTCCGAGCTGCAACCCTGGTAGTTGTCGTGAAAATGCCAAGTATCGGCACTGATATCTGTGCCTCCCTACCACATACAGTATGTTTACTACTATGGCGATATGGCACCATGCGACTTCTGGCTCTTCCCCAATGTCCAAATGACAATGAAAGGTAAATGTTTTGAATCTATTCAGGACATTGAGGCAGCCACGACAGCGCAACTAAAAACACTCACAAAAGAGGACTCGTATTGAAGAACCCTGCCTTTCCCTTGGATGGCACTTGGCAGCAGCATTCACTGTATTTTTTTTTTTTATCACAACTCGTCCGTATGTTTGAATGAACTTTAAAGCGACATTAAAGTCAGAATTTTTTTTCCCCTTCCCAATCCTGCTGTAGGGACTTACCTTAAATGATGCCTCTTTTCGATCATCTTCTTTAGCTGTCCCTCCAGCGCTGGTGCGGGTCTCCGATCCAACTTGACTCGTGTCCTCCTCTTCTCTCATGTCCCATGTAGTCTGTGCGGGTGCACGCTGCTCCATAGACTTACCTTGTCTCTCTCCTCGTCTGCCGGCCAAACATCTGAAGTGCGCAATGCGCCCGCCCCAAAATCCTTTGTGGACGCCCGAGACTCTTCAGATGTTTGGACGGGAGGGAGAGCACAGCGAAGACACAGGTAAGTTTAAACCCTTTTTAAAAGGTTTTTTATTTTTTAAATGTTTTTGAATATATCTACTGCTTGCTAGCTGTAGATATATGCAAAAACCGCTGAGGGTGCAATAACCCTTTAAGCAAACCCCCCTCCCCTCAAAACTTGCATCTGACTTCTAGTGAGCTTCCTTAGGCAAGGGTGACATTGCTGATTCATTTCCCAAGAAAGCAAAAAGTCGCACAAAGATTTGCTCTTACACACAGCTGGAGTGAATATTGCAAGATTTAGGTGTTCCCCAGATCCTGGGAGAAGGCCCAATAATGTCACACTCGCGCTCAGGACGTAGCCAGAAACCAGGGTGTAAAATAATTTTTTAGACATACTTTTGACATCCAGGAAAAGTGAAGTTGTGTAGGAGAAATGATCACATACCTTGGTGGCTTGCAAATCTCCAATGTTTAATTTTAGAGCTCCAATGGCGGTTTTACACAGTATCACTGCTTCATCACTACTTTTCACCTAAAAATGTAAGTGGAGGTGGGAATCAGAATCTAGAAAATTAAAGGTTTCAGTATCATCTTAAATCACTTATAAAAAATTCTTACTATTAGAAAAGATTAATAAAATTAAATATAAATAGGGAGGCACAAACATAGACTTGCATGTTGAGATGATTAAGAGACAATATTACCTGTTCCAACCTCAGCAGGTTATACTTACCTATCCATGCTCCCATGCTGTAGGGGGCCACCCTGTGCAGGCTCCAGTTTCGTGTGGAAGTCATCACTGCCCCGCTACCTGACAGCGTTAGGGCCTGGAGATTGGCAGCTCAGATCTGTTCATTGCCTAATGGGGAATTTAACAAGCTCCCTCATACCCAGAAGCCATGCTCTGTTAAAGAAAGGGCTCCAACAAAAAGGGATGGTGGTAAGATAGTGCAGGTGGGTGAGTATACCTTGTAGGGGGGAAAAGAGGGCTATGAGGAAACACTGTTACCTTACCCTGAATGGGCTAAAGTAAGAGTTAGTTGCGCTAATATTGCGCAACATAAAAATTTTCAACTACCACCATTTTATTCTATAGGGTCTTGGCATTCAGAAAATATATAATGTTGGGGGGTTTTACGTCATTTTCAGGCCTAAAATGTGGAATATAACATGGGTGCAAAAATTGAAAAAAGGGCCTCAGTCATGAAGGGGTTAAAGGGGCCCAATGGATTTGCTATTAGGTCTCATTATACATAGTTACTGCTTTGCATTTGAACTTAGATTTAATGACGCTTAGTATTTGTTTATCTACCATATGCTCCTGTAAGGTCTATAGTAAATCTAGGAATCGGGTCAAACAGCTGTTAGATCTACAGGGAACAGTTTACTGTTTGAATGCGATTATAGTGGATGCAGTGAATTGCTGCAACCAATGTTCAAAAAGAAAACTGATGGAGGTAATAATCATGTAAGGAAAGAAACACAATTGCAGTCTGGTTGCTAAGTCAGGCTCATCAAACAGATGCTTTCTGCCACCTGCAGCCCTCTCCTTCCTTTATGTCTCTCAGCCTGGTTCATTGTCCAGAGAGCAAGCTGAAGCAGGGGTGGGAAGCTACAAACCAAAGCCAGGAAATACGGTTCTGAGCTCCCTAACTGCGCAATGTGGCAGAGTTGTGTAATTCACAAGACTGGCTGAATAGAATTACAGATTTTGTGACAGGTAAAACAGACAACATGCATGTGTTTCAACTGTGTATTTAGCAGTCTACCTGAAGCAAGGATACATATTGCCTTATTGCTGTCCCCTACAGCTTGACTGAATTTCTAGGTCATTAAAGGAACACTAAACTCAGGAGTAAAATCTTTAAAATGTATTCAAGTACCTTGGCTGTTAACAAAAATGTATTTTACTTGTACATCACTCAGCTGTAGATCCTCATATCATCTCTGAATTCATTCGGACACTGTCCTTCCTTCTGGAGGGTGGCTACTTTGTTCCCCATGGTGTGTGTGTGTTGTAAAGTAGTCACCATTCCAAGCTCACTCCCATAATGGACTACAGTCTCATGTTTAGTTTACATATTTGTATTGAGATTGTAGTCCATCACAGGAGGGAACTTGGAGCGGTGGCTACTTTACAACACACACAGGGACCATGGGGAACAAAAGTAATCACCCTCCAGAAGGAAGGACAGTGTCAGCACCAATGCAGAGATGATTTGAGCAACTACAGCCGAGTGATACACAAATAGGATACATTTTTTTAAAATAATAATTAAAAAAGGTACTTGAATGCATTTTGAAGGTTAAACTCCTGAGTTTAGTGTCACTTTAATATGACATACAGTATGTTTATATGATAGCAATACCACAATAAATAAGCATCATTTAGTTAACATAAACTTCTAAAAGCTGCTCACCTTCTCCCGAGTCTTCTCTAGAAAAGTAACTGCTACTGTGGGATCTAGAAGAAAAAGAAAAAAAAACACACAACTAAAAATGTTTACACTGAATCATTTGTCTCTAAATTGTGAGACACAAGACGACTCCTTAAAGGCACACTCTAACCCAGGACATTAGTGTAAAAACGTTCCTTACCTGTCATCTGTCTGACTACATGAAGGATTATTTCAACCAGTGACAATGGGTTAATCCTGTATAAGAAAAATAAAGAGAGGAAAGAACAAAGCGTAAATCTAAAGAATGTGGGTCTTGGAAGATTAATAAAGGACCAAGGGCTAAACATTGTGGATCATGTACATTACACATCTAAACATTAACAGGCCCAATACAGTACTTGGAAGAGCACTGATGTAGAGGGTAAAGCATATCATTGGTAGCTAGCCAATAAACTATGTACAACAGAAAGAGATTTTTAAAAAACACTTATTAAGTCTCCCATTGTAATAAGCTCTGGTGCGCATTTTCAAACGCATTAGGGCTAAAAAGTGAGCACAGGACTGCCAAAACTAAATGACTAAAGATTGGAAAAATATTGCCTGGTCTAAAAATCATGATTTGTATTGCAATATGAAGATGGCAGTGTCGAAATGTGGTTCCCAAAACATGAATCCTGCGGCACAAAGTGGAACTGGAGGTTTACGAACAAATCTGCAAGAACTGTGTGAAGCCATCGAGTCAGCACTGAGCAAAAGCCATTAGGATCATTTGTAGCACTGTGTTGAACTTATACTACAAAGAATTTAAGCTTTTCTGAAGGTAAAGGGGTGGGGGGGGAGAAAATGTCATACTAGAGATTTGTACCCATAAAGTGTCCACTTTATCTTTGGCTGTAAGTTGTGTATTTTGTGTATGTATTTTTTTAATCTGGAGTTCCTAAATGACTGAAAATCTCCTATCTAACTTAGCCTGAGCTTTGCTAGCTTATCCAGCAGACCAAACGAGACGGTGCATATGAGAGAAGTAGCAACACAGCTGTAGTGCATAGCCCGGTAAAATGATGTGCTCATACCTGTGCTCAAACTCACTGATGAAGTTTTCATATAGCTGTGGAAAGATAATGGAATGACATAAGAATATTATAGGTATGGTTTGTAAAACAAGTTGAGATGTGAACAAGCATTACAAGAATGTAACTTACAGAATACCGATGCTACTCCAATATTGACTGGTCTCCTGTGAGATACCGTCCTTACCTTGATAAGTCCATCTCCTTTAACACACTCAGGATCCTGCACAAAGTCCAGCAGTTGCAAAGTCAGCTGATGCCATAACCTGAAAAGAAAACGTGTTTGCTGCTGTCAAATATCATACAGGCAGAACTACATGCAAAATATATGTCAAATTCATTTCTACTGGAATGAAAAAAATATGGGAGTGGTGTTTTGGCAGCACGAGCAGTGGGAAAGGCAAGTATTCAACCTCTTGTTTTGCAGGTATTATTGCTTAGAAGCTACTACAACTTTTTCAATAATCGATTATGTCGATTAGTTGTTGCAGCCCTACATAGCGCCAAAGCTTGCGTTTTTTTCTTTCCTCTGTACCTTCCGAGGTGCCTCACATGCGAGGACCTGGTTGGCGCTGAGCGGAGGGAACGCGCAAAGGGAAAGTAAAGAGGGAAGAACAGAATCTCTTCACTAGGGCTGCAACAACTAATCGACATAATCGATTATTGAAAAAGTTGTCAACTTTTTCAATAATCGATTAATCGGCTTCCGATCAGTTGGCCCTGTTCACGGCTCCACCCACGCTGCACGCCGCACCTCCTCACGCTCGCTGCTGCCATTCTGCATTCATTGCTGTATAATTTTACACTTTCCTTTTCACTATATTGCACACCACACTATTTTTTTTTTCTTTTTTTACTTCCACTCAGTTGGCCCTGGAGTGCAATCTCAATACAAACTAGTAGTCCATCACTGGAGCCATTTTTTAAAATGTATTTTATCGTTTATCCGATTAACCGATTAATCGAACGTAATAATCGGCTAACTAATCGATTTTGAAAATAATCGTTAGCTGCAGCTCTACTCTTCACTGTACGACAGATGCAGCTCTCATAGTTCTCATCTCCACAGCGCCAAAAGTCCAGCACTGCTGTAATTTTTGGAATTAATAAGATTTTGACCTTATACAGCATCAATTCCAACCTGTGATACCCATCACTAGAGATATCATCTTCGTTCACAACATAAGGCAGAAAACGTTTTATCCTGGAGTTCCACTTTAACTTCTCTTCTATAATATCAGCCAGTGCCAGAGAAAAGGGGTAATGACTGAATAATAGAAAGTCACCATTTCAGTATTGTCCTTCATTCACACTCGAGCAGAGCATATTGATGCACATTTTTATGCTGTTTTGTAGTTTGCCAGGAGCCATCCCAGCTGCGGCCCTCTCAGTATATAGCGGGCAATAGCTCGCTATATACTGAGCTCTGGGTAACTGGAGGTTAGTTTATCTCCTCCTGTGAGCCTAAAGAGAACTATGGGTTACCCCATAGTTCTCTTTTAAGTGCTCATTATTTTGTCTAGGTGCTAAAACCCCCCCCCCCCAAAAAAAACCAAAACAGTTATACTCACCAAACCATCTGCTTCAGTGACGATTAAAGTGTGTCTCCTCCTCACTGCACAGAAGGACTGCATCTCGGCGGCCTTGTTTCTATACACAGTGTATGGAACGTGACGACACCAGGATCCCTGGACCGCTGTAGCAGAGACGCTCAAAGCACCAGACTAAGAACAAGCCGGCTCAGGTGGTCTGGTGAGTTTACCTTTTTTTTTTTACGACTTAAACACAAATAAGCACTTAACCCTTGCAGTACAGAGGTAGCCCCACTGCGAAGGTTAATACATTTCTTTTCCTGGAGTTCTTGTGCCGCACATTTACAGTCTATGGGGCCAAAAAGCGCTCATCACAGCTCTCTCATGCACCATTTCAAGCTTTGGACCCTGTTCACATATAGCGACATACCTTTGCAGCGGCCGGGATAGCGCGACTTTCGGGGCGACGTTCCAGCGACGATAGCGCAACCTTCTCCGTCAGGCTCCATAGAAAAAAAAAAGCAAAATCCGCCAAAAAAAGGGTCCGGTAGAAGCGACTTGCGACATGGAGTTAAGACAGCTCCATTGAATAGCATTGGCCGGCGACTTCTCACAATATCGCGCGGCAAAACTGCGCGATATCGCAGCGACAATTCGCTATATGTGAACGGGGCCTAAAACTTCAAATGTCTGAGCACAATAGATAAGAATGGAATTCTGATGGTGAGCAAAAACACATGAGAATGGTCACCTGCGCAGTGTGTACAGATGGATAGTATAGTTCTCTGTATTACTACGCTCTGTGTGTGTGTGTGTAGTACATTGTGTGGGGTGTTGTAGTAACATGCTATGTATATAGTGCAGTGTGTACAGACGGATAGTATTGTTCTTTGTATCACTACACTGTGTGTATAGTACATTGTGTGTAGTGTTGTAGTAATATGCTATGTATATAGTGCAGTGTGTCATAAAAGGACTCATTACTGATAATGACACTGCAGTGTGACGATGCTGGATGGAACAGTGACAGGCTATGTGCAGTGCTATGTGTATGGCAGTGTCCCGTCTCTCTCACTTCTTGTTGTAGTTCTCCTCCATCTGGTGCCATACCGCGGCCGTCTCAGGTGACGAGCTCTGGCTCTGCTGCTGCTGTAGAAAGCCGGTCACGTCCCTCATGTCTGCTGAGTGTCCAAACCTACTGCTAGGAAAATGAGAAAGAAACACCGGCCGCCACAACCGGAAGCGTCAACAGCAACCTGCACACTCACTTCCTGTGACGTATGACGCTGAGTGCCGTAAAACGCTACTGTGCGTGACGCTCTCATGAGAACGGTTGGCTGTGCATCACGTGATTTGCGGATGTGCTCCTCAGTCCTCAGGCTTTGGCACTGGCCCTCGCCCTCAAGTGGCCGGGTGTTGTTGAACACCGGTCCTGCTCTCTTCAGAAACCCAAGCTGTCATCGTTTACTACTGTGTTATAATAGGTGTGCAGTTATTGGAGGGTCACTGACAACCAGGGGAGGGGACATACTTGCTGAGCCCTTTATTTTTAACAATGTTAAAATGAACATTTTAGGCCTGGAGGTTACTTCAATTCCACAAAACATTTTTTTTTTTTAACCACTTGAAGTCCGCGGTGTTAAACCCCCTTCCCATCCAGGCCATTTTTCAGTATTCAGCGCTGCGGTACTTTGACTGACATTTATTCCGTCATGCAACGCTGTACTGAAACTAATTTTATGCTATTTTTTGGGGGACACATAGAGCTTTCTTTTTGGTGGTATTTAATCACCACTGGGGTTTTTATTTTTTAATATATTAAGTAAAAATTACAGATATTTGTTTTAAAAAAAACTTTCCCCTATATTAAATGATAAAACATTTATAATGACCCAATCTTTTGGTAAAATATAAAAGACGGGGTCACGTCGGGTAAATAGACACCAAACATGTCAAGCCTTAAAATTGCGCGCACGAAACCTAAAAAAAGACAATACCCAAAATTGGCCATAGCTGACGCTTTAAAAGCTTTTACCGCTCATCAGTTTAGAGTTATCAGTGATTGATGGCCCTAGAATGATTGCTTTCACTCCGACGTTCGTGGCGATATGTAACACGTGTAGTGCAATTGTAATTTTCGCACGCTGTCGCATCGAACGCGTATTTACGTTTATATGTGTGTAAATGGGGGTGGGGGACTTAAAAATGTTTTTGTTTTTTTTTAAACATTTTTATGTGACTTATTTTATTTATGGTTTTTTTACACTTATTGTTATTGCTATCACATAGAGGATAACAATCTCCCAATATGATAGCACAGGTGCACTGACAGGTCCACTTTATGGAGACATTGGGGGTCTCTAAGACCCCTAGTGTCACCTGGGGACCCCAAAAGAAACTGATGAAGCAGAGATCTGCTTCATCAGTTTCTTCTCTCTGGCTATAGCAGCCAGATGACTGACTGGTGAATGCAGAAGGGATGTATCACACATCCCTTCTGCATTCAGACCTCGGAGGGAGTTCAGCAAGGAGGAAGATGCTGATCTCCCTCGCATCTTACCTCCCGGGCCGCAGATGGGCTAGCGGATCCCGGGATTGAAGGTGAGGGAGCGGCACTCATGGTGGCAGAGGGGGGGGGGGGGGGGGGGGATAGGTGGGAAGGGGGGGGGGGGGGGGGGTGCGCTGCCAGACAGCACATACATACGATCGGCAGGCTATAGAGCCGCCGATCGTATGTATATCAAACGGCCGGTGACGGCTGTAAAGAACGGGCGGGTTTTTTCTGCCCGTGCGCGCGCAAGCAGAAAAAAAAGCTGTCTGATGACGGCAATCCGCCCGTGTGAGTCTGCCACCCGTCCGTTTTTTTCTCAACGGGCGGATGGCAGGAGGTTAAAGCAGAGACCCTGTAGAATAAAATGGTGGCGGTTGCAGTTTTTTGTGTCACGGGACATTTGCACTACTTTTTAAACCCAAATGTTTGTATTGTATTTTGCAAAGGTGGTCACATAGCCAGAACACTATCTGCATGGAGTTTGCATGTTCTCACTGTGCTTGTTTGGGTTTCCTCCCACACTGCAAAGGCATGCTGGAAAGTTAAGCTGCCCATACACCTGACGATTCGGGTGATCCTGCGATTGTACGATTATCGTCAGGTGTATGGGCAGTGTGCGACCGCATATACTGTAAGGTCGGGCGACTTTAGTCTTACGATTTTTGGCGGGTTGGTATCGCGATCGCACGGGCTGAGGTGCACAAGCGCACACTGTTCGCTCACCATTGCAATCATCTGTAAGTCCTCCCCCCAGAGGGGAGGGCTTGCGATGATCGCAAGTACAATCTGCCTGTCCAAGATGAGCAGGTCGTACAAAATTTGAATCACTTTACAACCATCGCACAACAAAAATCGTGCGATGGTTGTAAGGTGTATGGGCAGCTTTAGTTTGCTCTCGTCTAAATTGCCCCTCCCATGAATGTGAGATAGAGACCCTAGATTGTAAGCCTCTTAAAAGGAGAACAATGGAGTGAGTGATTTACACACATAGTTTGACGTGTAATATTTAAACTGTCAAACGTCGGCTCTATAGATCGGGAAGTGAGTGAACACATACCATAGCTCGTTCACTTCCCAATCATCTTCCTGCAGAGAGAGGCGACTGTCGGTCACGGTTTCCCGCAGAGATCCCCTCCACTGACTGAAGGAACAGATGGGGGAGGGTAAAGCTGGCTCTGCCTCTAGATAGGCAGAGCCAGCTGTCACTCACGCAGCTGGGTGGATCTCTACAGTATTGTCAGGATCTGTCCGCTCTATACTGAGCTGTGGGTCACGGGAGGGGGTTAGTATATGTCCTCACGTGACCCTAAAGAGAATTATGGGGAAAAAAGGTTAGCCCATAGTTCTCCTTTAAGTACTTGTTTACACCATGTCCGGACCAGAATGTTTTTTTGTCTGCACCTGACATGCATGCCAATGGTATTTCTGGGCTCTGTTCACACGAGCGCATTCCATTCCTGTACAGGAAAAAAAATGATGCATGACCTATTTTTCAAGCTCCATATCGTACCTCTGTTGTTGACATCATACCTCCACCAACTCAACAGTGAGTTACAGAAGTGACTTTTGCCTTTCTTCATCCTCTAGCCTCACCACTTTGTTATTTAATTTTCATCAATTCCACCTTGGTCCATCACGCCGCCGACCAGAAAGGAAGAATACGACCCCATCACCCCATCTGCGTGTTGAAGCGAGTGCTCGCCCACCGACAGGTGAGTTCAATACCACCCCTCCCCCTTTTTTTTTCTGCATGTTGAAGCGAGTGCTCACCCCTCTACAGGTGATTTCAATACCACACCCCCCCCGCCTCATCCCACCTTAGTCATTGCGCTAGGTCGTGGCGCTTCGTTCTCTACTTTTTGCATTTTTTTAAAGAATTCCATGACTGGAAATAGGTTGATAGACAATGCTGTAGACCATGTTTTGAACATTTATGATTTTGCACACGTTTTATTTTGGGCTTTCTTATTTCCCTGCCTACGTTTATTTTTGTCCAGTAACACAAGGGTTAACAAATATAGGAGTAGAGAAGAGTATGTCTCCCTCTGGAGTCAGGGTCAGGCTATGAAAAGATTACACAGGCTGGACTGGCTGGGAGCCTATTGGTGTGTACTAAGGGGAGGAACGAACAGCACCGACACATGACAGCCCTGTATAGACAAACACAACTTTATATACACATACAGATCTTAACATGGTTTCAGGAGGACACTCAAAGCACACTTATCATTAACAGCAATTGCATATAGGATCACCTAGCTTCTACACCAACACCAAGTGCTGAGGTTTGACATGTATTTAAACCTGCATAGTATTACACGTGTTTAGGACAGAGACCCTCTACAGTACACACAGGCTGCTGTAGCACTGTGTAAAGTCATATAAACTCTATCAGCCTTCTGACATCCTGCACAAGGACTCATCAGCAAGAAATGATGGTTATCCTGAATGTTTCCTGTCTGTCTTCTTTAAGGAGGGTAGTACTGGGGTCAACAAAGGCTCATCTCATGACAGGTAACACTGATGTCCTCTGATCATTGTTCTTTGTGCTCTACATGCATAGTTTTTGTATTGTCCACCTTCATTATTTTCTATGTGTTCCCTTTCCATGCCTGGTTCTCAGTGTTTAACTCTTTCGTTCAGTGAGAAGGATTTCTGCAAGCCAGTTTCACCTGCTGCCACACAATGGTAGAAGTGGAGTATCGCTGTCAGCCTGCTGCTTTATGAAGGAATCCTTTTTATGTCAAAGGTAAGCAAGAGAAAAAACACAATATAGACTTGTTTGTGAGTCTTATACAGGACTGGAGAAAAGGGAAAGAAGATGTGGGGCTAAGCAGCTCATTTATTTCTTTAAATCATTTTCAGAGCTACTCTGAGTTTGATTGCTATAACACCTTCCCTAAACTGATGGTAACACTTGCAAGCTTATCTTAATAACCACATAACAATTATGCCATGGACGCAGATAGATTGCATCCGGAGCTGAACATCTGTCCCTCCCCAACTGGCAGAACACCAGGGCCCAGTCGCAAATGTGACCGATGCGACCCTGGTAGTTCTGCCAGTATCTGCACTTATTATCGGGGCATTTTCACCAGTACTCGTACTGGTGAAAATGTCCAGTATTGGCACTGGTGCATCCCTACTTAATATTATAATGTATTTCTGCGACCTGTAGTTCTGCATAGTTAATGCTATTCTGCATTGCTGTATAATCCTTATACAGCAATGCAGAATACCATCAGATGTGGAGGACTACAAGTCACATCAATACATTCTAATGTAAATGGTATCATCAGCTTCAAACTCTGCACCCCCCCCTTCCTGATCCACACCAGCCTTACCTGACTCCTGCAGCAACTACTTTATCTCGGCGGCCAGGGGGGCGGGACTAAGTAGAGAGAAGGTCCTCTCCCAACAGCTGAATTTGCTGCCTAGCGGTGCCTGCAATGTCAGTAGCGGCTCTGCCAGGCAGACAGGTGACAGACACAGCCTCCTCTCCATTAGTGATGGGCTCGGGCGTGTTCGCAGCTCCACGTGCCGAGCCCGCTAGGAAGCTGACAGCACGACGCGCCAATCACAGGCACTGAGACATGTTCACGTTCGGCAGCTGCAGAGATTGGGAGATCTCTCAGTGCCTGTGATTGGCGTTGAGCTCTGTCAGCTTCCTGGCGGGCTCGGCACGTGGAGCTGCGAACATGCCCGAGCCCATCACTACTCTCCATCCCTGCACAGCTGCCCCTACATGCCCCGTTTCTACTGCTGCGGGTGGCAGAGTGGCGGGGGGTGGGTGGGCATGAGGGAGCTGCGGGCCCTCTGCTTC